TTTACACTTCCATGCACAGATAGGAATACTTAGCAAGTTTCCCTTCAGAGGCTCTGTATGCATTTACACTTCCATGCACAGATAGGAATACTTAGTAGTAAACACCAATGCAATCAATAATCAATCAGTTCTTTCAATTCTTAATACATGGTTTTGCTGCTGTGAATATGTGACAGAGAAAGTACTCAGTGTTTGGGCTGTATGGTAGGACTTTTTCAGCTGCAAGTGACAGGTGGCCTACGAAGAGTCTTGAATTTATTCAAATACTGAGGTGATTTAATAAAGCAAGGAACGAGAACTGTATAGTATATATTGGAATACGGAGTTGGAGAATGAAAAACGAAGCCCTTCCGAAGAGGAATGGGAGAGGAGGTTACATAGGTAGCTGTAAGAATCTTGAGGCCTGGAGAGAGAGGATCAAGCGGGAGATGATGTCCCCTTAAGGGTCATCCCTTAACGGAGGGCTTTTTGTACACATTTTCCTCAGATGCTACGTTATCTGTGTCCTAGGTGCTTGACATCGTTCTCTGACTGAATTCCCACAGCAGTCCGGTTGTTGGTGTCGGCTGCTGTGGATTCTGACTCATGGCGACCCCATGTGCACAGAGTAGAACTGCTCCATAGGGTTTTCAGGGCTGTGACTTTTCGGAAACAGATTGCCAGGCCTGTCTTCTGAGGTATATATTTTTATCAATCCATATTTCACACATGAAGAAATGAAGGCTCAGAGAGGCCAAGTCACCAAAGTTAGCGGCAAAGCTAGAATTTAAATGCTGCTGTCAAATTTCCCTGGTGGCGCAGAAACTTGAGAGCTTGGCTGCTAATGAACGCGTCGGTGGTTCGAGTCCAGCAGCTGCTTCTTGGAAACCCTACGGAGCGGTTCTACTCTGTCCTATAGAGTCGCTACGAGTCAGAATCGACTCGACGGCAACAGGTAAAGGGTCAAATTTCAAAGCTTAATTCGAAGAGTGAACTGATAAACAAATTTGGTAACGATCATTGTCTTTGTGGCATTTGAATTAACAAGCATATAAGAAAACATTGTAAAATCTTTACAAGCCATAAAAGAATTACAGACAACAAAAAACGAAGTGTGGTAAACGGGAGGGAGGACTTCATGGGATTTTATCTCTTCCAGACCTTGGTCGGATGCCCACCTCTCCCTACTCCCAGTACCGTGTTTTCACCCGTAAGGTAGACAGTTCTCATCTCTGTGGTGTTTGTTGATTTATTTTGTTGTTTCCCCTACCAGACTTGTACCTTGGGTGCCAGATCTTAGGCAACCTTGTATTCCCAGGGCCCAGCACAACGCCTGGTGCGCAAAAATATTTGGTGAATGGATTATACAAGCATTCACTTCACATATATATATTCACACACACGTACATATATGTATATATATACACGAATACATATATACACATCCACATACATACACATAGGTGTATACTCAGTGAAAGAGAAATTTTATTAATTATTACAATGCCAGATTTTAAGAGGTGTACAATAACAACTAGACTCGTATAAAATTACTATTCTCACCATGGCCATAAAGACAATGTTATAAAACAATCTGTGAACAATATTGAGTGTCTACAACATGCCAGGCTGTTTTGAGCATTTAACATTTTATTTATTTATTTAATTTAAATCTTATGAGGGAAGTAAAATTATTATCTCCATTTCAAAAACGGGGAGCATTGAGATCCAGCACGGCTAGGTAACTTGCTTAAGGTTAATGGATGAAAAGCCAGGATGTGAACACACGTAGTTTTGCTCTAAAATTTCTATGTTTAACAACTAGGATATTTTACCTCACCATTATTTATTAGTGGCTTATGAGGTTTTTTTTTTTTTTTTTGGTTGCATGCCTTTATAGTAGCATCTTCTAACGAAAATGCGTAGATCTTTTTCCTGTTGTTTGCTTGTCAACCGGAACTTCTTTTTCGCAGAAGGTATAGCCTCTTTCCAAGAAGACCCCTATGTATCTTGGGAAATTGCTCCTTTTTACACCCGATCAACCCCCATCCCATCTCCAAAACCGATGAGAAATTTGCAGTCAACATTATTCGCTACCCACTTGATAAGCAAAGACTCATATTTTAGATTTTTTTTTCTAAAACATATCCAAGGATACCCCCTAAGCTACTTCCCGGCTCGGGGCGCCCTGCGGCGCGCAGACACCCGCGCGTGTCCGCGGACTCTGCCCACAGCTTGGTCGCCAGCGAAACTACACTTCCCAGTGGGCTGTTCGGCGGCCCGAATCCTCTAGGCTCCAGGAGGCATCGCCGGAAGCCTAAGACGCTTTGCCGAGCAGTGTGGCTGGGAGAAGTAAAGGGCGGACGGTGGAGGCCCACCTGCGCTTACGCACCCCAAAATGGCTCGGAGGCAGGACGAGCAGAGAGGGGGCGCGCCTTTAATGGCGGAAGGCAAGCCGGGGGAGGAGGTTAGGCTTATTCTGTACCACTGGACGCATTCCTTCAGCTCTCAAAAGGTAAGGGCCGCGACCTGGGCCCGACCGCGGCACAGGTCGGGTTTCAGCACCAGGACAGCGCCTTCTGGGTCCCGCCCCGGGGCGCCCGCCTACTGGCAACCCGCCTCTGCCTTACTCAGCCCCGGCCCCCGGCTCCCTCGAGGGCAGGGGTGCGCCCCGGTGGGGAGCGGGAGGAGCGGGGAGAACGAGTCTGAGATGGAAGGGCTCTGACCCAGTCACTGTCACTCATGAAATACGACAAAAAAAAAAATCACTTTCATCATTTGTGCTGGAGGCCTTGCCTGCAGGGCCTTGGAGAGTGAGGCAGCGGAAAGCGCCTTCACCTCAACCATGTGCATAATCTACGGTTCCTTTTAGTCCTTCTTGCCCCATTCGCTTTCTTCCACAAGGCCCTACATACCTGTATTTCCGGTTCTTGTCTGGGAAGGACTCATAATTAGGT